CTGGCTGGTTGGGACCAAGGTGGGCCCAGCCCAGCCCCTGCCCAGCCCAGATCACCCTTCCCCCCCTATACTGTGCCCCCTGGCCAGCCCAGACTTGCATGCCCTGCTGGAACACTACTCAGAGTTGCTGGTGCAGGCCGTGAGGAAGAAGGCGCGGGGGGACTGAGGGCCAGCAGCGCCCCCCCACCCTCCACCACAGCCCTGCTACATTTTAAGAAATAAGTATTTTAAGCAAATAAACAGCTTGGGGGAATATTTCCTGTTGCCTGTCCTGGCTCATCCACCAAACCCTTTTCAGGTGGATGCAGGGAGGGAGGGCGAAGGGCAGTGCTCAGGTGAACTGAGTCCCAGGGGGACCTGGATTTGCTCCAATGCCAGGTCCTGTTCCATGATTCTGTCATTGCAGAACGTGGGATCAACATTCCCAAGAACATTGGGAACTGCAGTAATGATGACCCCATGGCCTGGCCTCCCACATCACCTATCTATCCCCAGTCCATTAAGCTGCTGCAGGGGGGTCATGTGTGGTTCTTGCCCAGTGGGGCCTCACTGTGCCCCAAGGAGGGGCCAGCCCTTCCTCTCCGCCCCCTGCTGGTGTCTGAGAGCCCACTGAAACTGCTGTGATCACCATGTGCCTGACCTTTCCCACCAGTACCTGTGTTGCTACATCACTGGCTCATGGCCCTTGGGCCAGGCCCACATAGGATTACAAGGCCCAGGCTGCTGTTGTCCACATCTGCAGCAAAAGAAACTGAGGACAGATAAACAGGCTCACCTGTGGACAATCCCAGCAGCAGGCCCAGGCCACTGAGCCAGGCACAGCCACTGAGACCAGTAACTTCTTCCTTGCCAGAAGGGCTGGGTCTAGCTTCAATATCCTGCAAGCTCTCAGCATGGTACCAGCTCCCCCAGGTAGCAGACATCTAGTCACATGGTGTGTCTGCTAAAAAGGCCACTCGTGACCACAAACACCTGCAGTGTCCCAAATGCCTATCAAAAGGAAACTTGTGGCCTGTGAGTTCTTCTATGCTCCGTTTAGTTGTCATGGCCCACCAGAAACAGGCTTGGAGAGATCCAGTTTCTTGCCCACGGTCCCAGAGCTGAAACTCAAACCCAAGTTTGCCTGGTGGCACAGCTGGACCCTTTAACATAAGGACATGGCCCTCTGCTGCCATAACATGTGGCACACATCAAGACCAATCATGCAGTTATTCAAACAACCCTTCCTAGTCCCCAGGTGCCTGTTGCTGTTCTACACATTAGGGTTAGAGTGAGGAACAGTCAGGCAAGGTGTTTGCCTTCATGTCACTCACCTTCTGAAGAGTGAAACAGACAGGAATTAGAACTATATCTGTATATGGGCTGAGCCTGTGGCGCACTCGGGAGAGTGCGGCGCTGGGAGTGCTGCAGCGCTCCCGCCGCGGGTTCGGATCCTATATAGGGATGGATGACCGGTGCACTCACAGCGCTCACTGGCTGAGCGTGATGCAGCTGGTCTCAAAAAGGACAAAAAAAAAAAAAAAAAACTATATCTGTATAATTGTAAGTAGGCTAGGGAGATTGACTTTGTTGGTGGAAGGGTCAGAGAATGCCTTGCTGAGGTGACATTTGAGATGAGGTTTGATAGAGGACTTCTCAGGAACATCAAGCACATAGAACAGCCAGTGCAAAGGCCCTGTGGGGGAGTATGTGTAAGGAATAGCAGCAAAGCCAGGACGGCTGGGATAGCATGAGTGAGGGGAGAGGGCCTTGTTGCTTCATGATAAGTTTAAGTCCAAGAAACATTCATAACACCATATTCTTTTCCTAAGTAAAATCCCTGCTCTTGGTGTTTGGAGAGATGTCCGATATTGTTTATTTCTCAAGGCTCCATCTCACTACGTCAGGGAGCCCAGGTGGCCCAGAACTTGTTGGCAGGCTTGACCCCACAAGCTCCCTGCAGGCCCACAGACCACCCTGGCATGACTCGAGATGCACCTGCCTAATTCGGCTGAGGTCCTCTAAGATCCCTGAGGCAAGGTTTGGTGTCCAGCCCCACTGGACACCCAGGAGACCACCTTGGGCCTCTCTGTTCCTTATGGAATTACCCCTCCTGTATCGTAAATCCTTCAATGTCAAGTAGCAAACACCTGGCTTATGGGGACCCAAGCTGTAAGGACATTTGTTACTCTGGATTATGTCATCGTAGACCTGGCCTCTTCCTCTCCTGCTCTGTCACCCCCTGTGAGTCAGTTTTACCCTCCAGCTTAGGACCTTCCAGTTTCAGTGTGGCTGCTATAACACCCAGCAGTATATCCTCAGCCAACCAGGAGCAAAGGCAGGAAGCAGGGCAGCCACCAGATAGCAGGAAAGAAGCACAAATTCTTCCAAAAGGTCTCACCTTCAGATCAGTCTGAGGCAACAGGAGTGGAGATCGATTTGCTTGGACCATCTCCTGTTCTGGGCATGCTGCTACTCAAACAAGATTGGGTTCTCTCAATAAGAAAGGAGGGTGGGCTGGTAATTAGAAAGGAGCCAGCATGTCTGCCACTCCCCTCTTCCAAATGCCAAGCTCTGCAGCTCAGGAAGGATCAGGCTTTCTTCTTGGACAAACCACCTGGATAAGAAACTACTGCTGGATATGATATGTGTGCATGCGGTTTATGAACCCACAGGTTCCCAACAGGAAGATGACGACAAGCTAATGTGGGATATTCCAAAGAGAGTTTAACAAAGGGACCATTTGCAAAGGAGCAGGCAAGGACTAGAGAAACCACTAGGGCTGGTACAGTACCCCAGGACTGGTACCAGAGGGGAGATGTTATCACCCCCTAGGCCACAGGGCACAAAGGGATGGAACGAGAACCCAGAAGAGCAAATTTTGGAGAGAAGGCTGTCCTGAGGGAAGCTGTGTCCATGGCAAACTCACAGGAAAGAGTTGGAGGGACCAACACCCAGACTGTACTTCCCTCCCACTATCCTGCGCGGCACCCCATTGTCCAAATCCCACTGGAAACCAGAGGACATGGAAGTCCAGGTGATGCAGCCCACCCAGTCGGCCTCCCAGGACATGGAGCAGGTGGAACAGGACAGAAGAGGGCCTGGGGGCAAATGATGCCTGGCACCAGCTATCTTCCCTAATGTGTTTTCAGCAACACAGGAACCACTTGCCCCAAGAGACATGGAGGTGGGCATAGAACACTGGGTGCCTGAGAAGAAGCAAAAAATAGTTCTCCCCAACCCATCTGCCAGCTCATCCTTCACTGCAACTTGCCCCCCTACACTCTGCATCTGTCTTTAGCCATCCAGTAGCAGTAACCAGCAGGACAGCTCCTAGGTGCTGAGCTGCCAGACATGTGTGCCAGACACACCAAACATGGCCACATGAAATCCAACATTTGTGAGATGGAGACACCACTTTGATCCCCATTTAACAGGTGGCCCAACTGAGGCCCAGATGCTTGCCCTGACCACCTTACCCCTCAAGTCTTCCTAATCACCTCCATTTATGTGTCTACTGTATGCCACACCCCATGCTAAGCATTCTCTCCATATGATCTACATGGATCTTCATCACAAACCAGGGATAGACAGACTCTTTAATCCCATTTTCCAGATGAAGAAACTGAGGCTTAGTGAGAAGTGACTTGCCCCAGTTTCTGCAGAGATAAAGTGGCAAAGCTTGGCTAGCAGACCCTGAGCACTGCCTCCTTTGCTTTCCCAAATGAATTAGCAGAACTGACTCTCAGGGAATGTGAAGAAATGAAGAAATAATCCTTCTCTCACCACCACGCCTTTGTAAAGACTGTTCCCTTTGCCTGGAACAACTTTCCCTTTCACCTGAAGCCTCTTCTTTCAGGGCTTACATCCAGGAAGCCATCCCTCAGCCCCCAGGCTGGATCAAGAGCCTCTTCTGGGTCCCTAGGGCCCCAAGGTTTTCCTCGTCATGGTGTGGAGCACTCTGCCTGTGCTTCCTCTTCATGGTCTTGATCATTCTGGTCTGTCACTGGTGTGACTCCCCCATGGACTTAAGTGTTCATTTTCAGGGCTGACTGGTTAGCTCAGTTGGTTAGAGTGTGGTGTTATAACACCAAGGTCAAGAGTTTGGATTCCTGTACTGGTCAGCCACCCAAAAAAAAAAAGTTCATTTTCACTGTTGAGCTAGGCCTGGCCTATAGTTGGAGCTTACAAGATCGTTGGATAAATAAATGAGAGAAAGTAATTGCATAGGGAGTGTTCAAAATCCCTATCTCCTAACAAGTTAGACAATGACCAATCTAGAAAAGAGTGCTGGGGTAGGGTCCTGGGAGGCCCTGGCTATGTCAGGTACCCCATTTAGTTTCTTGACTGTGAGAGAGGAGGACAGTGGTATCCCAGGCATTCACTAAGGGCTGGACTATTAAACCATTAATTGTTAACAACTGTTACACCTGAACTCAGCCCTGGGCATTTGAAAAGAGGTGGAGCCTCCTGTCTGAGGGTGCATAGCCTGGGTCCTTACTTTGCTCTGCCGTCCTCCCTGCACCCTCTGGAGCAGGGCAATCACAGCTACCCCCTTCCCCTGCTTCCTCAGACAGCTGCTGTGATTTGAATAACCAAGTAGGCTGTTGGGTGTCCGGTGGTGACTGATTTGCCTGGCAAACAATCCTTCAAGTCCTTTACTGTGCTGTTACTATGGGGAGACACTCTGGGCCATATTTTTTCTCCCCATCCCCAAGAGCTGTCTAGGCCCATCTACCTTGGCTTGACCCTCCTTGGGAGTCTTAGTGCTTGTCTGCCCCGGAGGCTGGAGAGTCCCCTCAGGTACCTGGCACAGGAGAAGGGGAATGAATGGCAGGCCCCAGGACAGAGGTAACCAGAGCTGGCTAAATCTGCTCCCTGGGCCTATCAGGAAATTTGCATGAAGAGAATGAGGCTCCTCCACAGCTTCCCCCTCCCTTCCCACCTGGGATAGGTGTCCTGGGGCTGAGGTCTGACAACAGGTGGAGGAGACAGCCTGTGCGAGTGGAGCCATCGTGGTGATGCCCCGTGCCTTCCTGGTCAGGAGTCGGCGCCCGCAGCCACCCAACTGGGGCCACCTGCCTGACCAGCTCCGGGGAGACGCCTACATCCCAGGTGGGCCCCTCATTGGGTCTGGAGGTAAGAGGCAGGGGTGACAGAAAGCATCACCGTCTGGCTTCTCTCCTCAGACTGCAGCAGCCTAGGGGGGCCACCAGTATGCCGGTCTCCTGGCCTCAGGGACTCTTCTTGGGCAGCGGTGAGTCTGAAGCAGGCCCACAGAACCAGCTCTGTTTCATCCCTTCCTGCTCTCAGCCTTGACCGAAGTTGATTGCCCCTTCCTCCCCAGGCCCATTTGCCCATGCCCACCTTAGGACTTTTCCACCTGTTCTCTCTTTTTGCAATGCCTCTCCTTTCCTAGTAGAGACCTCACTGTTAGGTCTCATCCCGAGAACAATATTCTCAGGTGGGCAGCCGCAGTCCCTGTCCCCAGGGATCTCTCTGTCCACTGGGGCAAAACAGGATTTAAGCCAAAAAGTGGGTGTTGATTTGCTTTATGTTAGAACACCAAACAGGGTAAGAGGCGCAGTATGAGGCATGAGGAGTATTGGAGCCTCTCAGAATATTTCAACGGTGCATGCATTGGAATAAGGAAAGCAATAGCTGGAATGTAAATGTGCTTGAGATTATTTCAGTGTTTACTGAGAACCAGGCACTGTTCTAGGCACTGGTTATTTGGCAGGAGTAAGATAAAAATTCACACCTTTATGGCACTTATATTCTGGTGGAGGCTGAGGGTATAGACAATAAAATTAGAAAAGTATATATATCATTGGAAGATGGTACTCGCTATGGAGAAATATAAAGGGCCATGGGGGATGATGAGGGAAAGCCTTGGAGAGAGGGTGGCACGTACATACACACTAATCAGTTGCTTCCTAGGCTAGGCTAGGCCTCCTAGTCCCCCTTAGCTCTGGGCACTTGTAAATACTTGTTTGCAGAGTAACAAAGGGTGGGCAGTGTATAGCTGGAGGGCTAACTCCTGCATCCCTCTGGCAGCCCGCACAGGACACCCTGGCCTCGGCTCCTAGGGGCCCTGGGACACTTGGCTGCCCGCTCTGTCCCAAGGCCTTCCCGTTGCAGCGCATGCTGACACGGCACCTCAAGTGCCACAGCCCAGCACGCCGCCACGTGTGCCGCTGTTGTGGCAAGGGCTTTCATGATGCTTTCGATCTCAAGCGTCATATGAGGACTCACACTGGTAAGCAGTGGCAGGGATGGGGAGGGGCTGTGGGGCCCCAGGCCAGGATGGAACAAAATGAAGGAAGGTGCCCAGGTTGTGGACTTTGCAGTGTTTGTCTATGTGGGGCAGGGATGCAGCCAATAGGAGACTTGGGACAGGTGCACCTCAGACCCCAGCAGGTGGGTATAGGTGGCATCAAGTTAGGGACCAGCTGAGGGGTAGAGAGTGAAGATGGGTACTGGTTACAGCATTCAGGTACCAGATTGAAGGGTGCAAGGGAACGCCTCCTTCCCTGTCCCCCAGGGGAAGGAACATTCCGGTGAGGAAGGGTAAGGACACAAGTGTCTGGCCCAAGTTTGCACTGGGTGGGGATAGCAGATCGGGGTCACAGGCAGATGAGTCTGATGAGCTTGGAATAGCGATGGGAAAATCTCAACATTGAAGGGCAAGGTGAGAGTTTTTAGTCTGGAGGTCATTGCCCTCTTTGTCCTGCCCCCCACGCCCCATCTGTGCAGGAATCCGGCCTTTCCGCTGCGGAGCTTGCGGGAAAGCATTTACGCAGCGCTGCTCCCTTGAAGCACATCTTGCTAAGGTGCATGGGCAGCCAGCCAGCTACGCTTACCGTGAGCGCCGCGAGAAGCTGCATGTGTGCGAGGACTGCGGCTTCACTAGCTCGAGGCCCGACGCCTATGCACAGCACCGGGCCCTGCACCGCGCTGCGTGAGACTGTGTACAGGCATACTGTCCATGGGGCAAATAAACACAGGAAACTGGCGCACTGAACGTGGCATTTATTAAACACGAGGGATGGGGGAGTCACTCAGTCCAGCGATGGCCGCAGTGTGGGGCCGTGCATACGTAGTACAGGCGCATGGCGTCCTGGCAGAAAGAACTCATGGTTAGGAAGGATATGGATGGAATCTTCCACCCAGCAGGGCCTCATCCCCAAAGAACAGACAGGAGAACTTTTCCAGTTGGTAAGGATCCGGCTGAGAATTCCGAGAAAGGCAGGGTCACCCCAGTATTGGTATCCCCGCCCCCAGAGAGGCCCAAGATCCAGATTCCCAGGAAGCAGTCGTGCCACTCACCTCAGCCCGGGCACTGTGTGACTGAAAGAACACCGCCTCCTTGTGGCCGCACCTGAGGGGATGGCTCAGTCACTCAGAGCTTGACATACCCGCCTCCTCCCTTTTGGAGACAAGCCACTCCCCCTCCCCAATACCAGCTGCGCGCTCACTTCTGGCACGGGTGGTCCTCGGTCCGAGGCAAGGTGGGGTCCTGGGACACATCAGCGATGATCTGGGTCAGTTCGCTGCGGGGGTGGAGATGAATAATTACGCTCAGACCGGGCCTCCCGAGCCAACACCCCCATCCCCAAAATCCGGTCCAGCCACTCACTCCACTTCGTGCGTGATTTTGTTGACGTAGATGCAGCTGTTGTCGGCTTCCTGCTGGTAATCACAATTACGGCACTACGAGAGGGAGGGTGTGGTGGGAAGGGGATCATGGAGAGATCCTCGATAGTACTGGAAGGGAAGGCAGGGTGTTCCCCGAAGGGGATGACTACGGGATGGAGTGTTGAGGTTAGTCGCCTCGGGGACGGACAAGACAGGAGAGTCTGGTTCACTCGGGGGATGGTCAGGAGGCAAGACCAGGACACGTCGGTGGAGAACAGAGTACGGGTCCCATGGGGCAGGGCGGGGCCACGCTGGGAATGGGTGGACCGGTCGGGGAAGACTGGGGGCCCGGCGGGCTCGCGCTCACCGCGTAGAGTAGAATTCGGTTCTCCTTGTCTTCCTTGGGGTACAGCATGTTGTTACTGCAGGGAGGGGGAGGCCAGAGATCAGTCCTGGGGCTATTCCTTGCTTCCCTTTCACACCTGTTTCCCTGGCCTCACCATTCCTGGCAGAATCGAATACCCACGAAGCCCGGCTCATAGGTCCCGTCTGGTTCCATAGCGACGCACTGCCCACCAAACCTTCCGCGCTTGCTCTGCCGCGCTACAGGTCGCGGGAAGGGTCTGGCCTAGTTGCTTCGCCAAAAGAGGGGCGGAGCCACGCACATGTACTGGCTGGCCGTGGCCTTGTGCTCGGCTCTCACCGCGCTGAGGTGTGCCGGACTACTTGCTTCAGTTGTTTGGTATCCTAGGATAATTGCTTCCGACTCCTAGGCCTCGCTTTCCCAATTTACAGAATAGCATGCATCTGATACAAGAGCCAGGAAAACGATGCACAACGTAACCCGTAAATCTCTGAGCGTAAATGGAAGAACCCACTGCTCTTTGCTTGGCTGAGGGCCAGTGCACATGCGCGAGCTTCCCCTTTCGCAGAAGGAGCCAATTTTGGCCAGTCCTTCTCTCGGCTTCAGCCTCTTCTCGTCCTGGCTGTTTTCCGTGCCGCTATTGGGAGAACTGTGAACCATGGAAGACCTCTCAGGATTGGCTGTGCCGGACCCAAGTACACGGGAGAGCTGGCGGTGGAGCAGAGACGGCGGCGATTGGCGGATCCTCCTTGCGGAAGAGCGTGGATTGGTCCGTTCCGGGAGCAGGAGGAGGGGCTGACACCCCAGTAGCGGCAGCGGCGCCTGCGGAGCCAGTGTGAGGCGGCTGAACCCGGCTGCGGGCCCCGGCAGGGCGCGGCGGGATGGAGGTGGCGGGGGTGTCGGCGCCCACGGTGACCGTTTTCATCAGCAGCTCCCTGAACAGCTTCCGCTCTGAGAAGCGGTACAGTCGCGGCCTCACCATCGCTGAGTTCAAGGTGTGGCTGTGGGGGCGGGGCCCGGAGAGGCGGGGCAAAGAAGAAATGGGGGGCTTCCCGAGCGGGGGGAGGGGCCAAAGAGCGAGAGGGCGGAGTCGGAGATGATGCCAGGTTGCAGAGTCTGGGGATCTGGGGGGCGGGGGGGTGACTTAGGCAGGGCCGGGCCGGAGAAAAGTCAGAGGGCGGGGCGAGAGCAGAGGGGATGGGGCCCGGTGGGTCTTGAATGGTGGGTCTTTTTGGAGGATCAGGGATGGATGATGGTTATTGATACAAGAGGCGGGGCCTCAGGGCAGAGAGCGGGGCCACTGGCAACCCGCCTGCTCACCCTGCCTCTCCCCACAGTGTAAACTGGAGCTGGTGGTGGGCAGCCCTGCCTCCTGCATGGAACTGGAGCTGTATGGAGTTGACGACAAGTTCTATAGCAAACTGGATCAGGAGGATGCACTGCTGGGCTCGTACCCTGTAGATGACGGCTGCCGCATCCACGTGAGGCCTCCCTACCTGGGACCCCCCCACCCCCATTTATTTATTTATTCAATAAATACTTGTGCCTTGCTCTATGGAATAGCCAGGATAGGCCCTACCCTCATGAACTCCGTAGTCCAGCATGGTGAGAAACCCATCACTAGACAGCGACAGCCCAGAGTGGTGTGTACTGGGGTCGGGAAAGCTACGGAGAAAGAAGGCACCCAGAAGAGGTGCCTGACTTCCCCTCAAAGTATCTGAACGGGCTTCCTGGAGGAAGGCATGTCCGAACTGAGACCTGAAGGATGAGGAGAGGGCAGCCTAGGAGAAGAGGTGGGAAGGGCATGCCAGGTGGAGGGAAGAGTACACAGAGGCCTAGAATGTGAGGTGGGTCAGGGTGAGTGATGAGGCTGGACAGATTGGGAGAAGCCAGAACACAAAGGACCTCTGTGCATCGGTTCACTTTGTCCTTTCTGTTCTCATCCCTCCCGCCACACACTTCACTCAGTCTGCACCAGCCATATTGCTTCTTAGACATCCCAGGTGAGCTCCACCTCAGGGCCTTTGCATGTACTATATCTCCTACCTGAATGGTTCTTTTAATATGTCCTCATAGCTCACCCCTTCCTTCCAGTCTGTACTTAAAATGTCACCTTCCAAGTGAAGCCTTCGCCAGCATCAGTATAAAATTTTACCTCATCCCTTTCCTCATTTTTGCTTTTAGATTTTTGTCTCTAGCTCTTATCACCCCCTGACGTACTCTGGATTTTTCTTGTTGGTCTGGTTTATTGTCTGGTAGAAATGTTCCTCACTCTAGTTCATATTTGTGTCCCTAGCACCTGAAACAATGCCTGGCACAGAAAGGATACTCAGTGAATCATTGTTGAATGATGAGTTAACGCTGTAAAATAAGACTGGGAAGGTGGTATAATTATTGCCATTTTGCAGCAGAGAAAATTTAGCTTCAGGATGAAATTTACTTTCTTAAGGATGAACTGTCACTAGAATTTTGACCTTGGTCTGCATGACTCCAGAAGTCAGTGTGCCTATTCTCTTTTTCTCTCTCTCATTTATTCAATTCTTGCTCATTGAATGTCTGTGTTGTGCCAGGGATATAGTTGTGAGCCATGTCTGAGAAAATCCCTGTTTTAGTTTGGTCCAGTGTGTTAGGTAGATGTTAGCTAAATGATCACAGGACCAAATATGAAGGATCAGTGGAGACAAAGTCCCTGCAGGAGGAGATCATGGAGCTGGGAGACCCTATACTGGGTATCTGACCCATCAGTGAGGTCAGGAGGAGCGGACTTCCTGGAGGAGGTGCTGCCTGAGCAGAGACCAGACAAATAGGAAGAGTTAGCGGAAGAGGGGAAAGTATGCTCCAGGAGGAGGGCACAGCATGGGCAAACACTCGAAGATGGGTGGGAGGGTGGTGGGTAACAAGGGACAGCAGAGAGGTGGGTCAGGGTGAGTGATGAGGCAGAAGGAAGTGGAAGCTGAGAGGGGGACTCTGAGCCAGGAGGGCCCTAGTCTGACTCAGGTGTTCGCAGGCTCCCTCTGGTTATGTGTGGGGAACAGACTGGAGGACAGGAGGAATAGGAAGACCAGGGAGGAGACTGCTGGAATAGTCCAGACGAGGTGATGAGGCCTGGACCATGGTAGGTATGGGTCAGGACTCTGTGCTGGGTCCACAGGACTGAGACTTTGAGATGACCTGGGCAACCTCAGCCTAGGGATGCAGGCGGATCCGGTGTGGGCAGTGGCATCCTCGAACAGGAGGGCTTCATACCTGGGTGATTCACGTACCAGACAGGCCTCTGACTTCCCAGACCATTCAAGGAAGGTGTCCCAGAGGTGGAGCCTCTGAATTTTTTCTAAAATTCTTTTTCTGTTTATAAATATCACCCATATTCATTGATTAAAATAACAGAACTTCAAATTTATAAAAATTCTTAGTGATCTTTGACCCCGAGGTAAGAGCCATTTCTATTTTGCCATGTTAACACAGTGGTTCAGGCCAAATACGTCGGTATTGTCCTTGACCCATCTTTCCTTCTCACCCACATTCAATCTGTCACAAACCCCGTCTGCTCCATCTACAAAATCTATCCAGAATCTAAACTCTTCTACCCCCTCCACTGTCCCTGCCCTGGCCCAGCCTCCATCCTCTCATGCCTGGACATCCCAGCTGCCTCCTCCCTGGTTTGCTCCTGTTCCTGTCCCCACAGTCTGCTTCCACCTGCAGCCAGGGGGAGCCTGTGAACACCTGAGTCACGTCAGGGCCCTCCTGGCTCAGAGCCCTGCCCTGGCTGCACCTTACTTCTACTAAAAACCAGTCTACAATGATCCGTTATGTCTACCTCTCTTCTTTGACTTACTCCACCTCACCTATGCTAGCCTCTCTGCTGTTCCTTCAAAAGGCTAAAGACGTTTGTACCTCTGGCCCTTTGCACCTGCTGTTCCTTTTCGTCCTTGGCTTAAACATCTCCTTCCTACAGCTTGCCCTGACCACCCTCCCATGCTCCTTAAGCCTCTTCTGTGTTGCATTTTTCTCCGTAGCCCTTGTCATCACTTGGTGTTGAGTACACATACCTGTTGGTTTGTTTATGGTCGGTCTCCTCCCAACAGAATGAGCACTGCTTGAGGGCAAGTGTTTGTCTATTTTTGCATGATGTCCCCAGCGTCCAGCACAGGGCCAAACTGGGCACCTTGGAGGAACTCAGTAAGCGATGAGTGAATGAATATTGGAGGTAGTGCAGGAAGAGATGCTCCGGGTCTGGAGGTTGGGACCAGTTTAGGAGGCTCTAGAAGCCCAGAGAGGTTAGATGTGCTGTGAGCAAGGCCTGAGCTCTGCCAGTTGGGTTCAGTGACTTCAAGGCCATCAGTGGTGTTGATGCCAGCATGTGCAGGACATCTGGGGGCAGAAGTAGCCTACAGGGGCTTGGATGGTCAGTGTAGATACCTACTCTTATCCTTCTGCTGGGCTCTCTCAGGAGAGGAGAGAAGGATGGGGTAAAGGTGAGGGTAGAGAATGTGTCTTTTCCCAGGTGGGGTAGACTTAAGTCTATAGAATGCTCCAGTGTGCAACTGCACCCCAGCATCCCAGGCCTCCCTGGCTGGACCCTGATCCCCACTGACCTCCCTCCCCTCACCACACAGGTCATTGACCACAGCGGTGCCCGCCTTGGGGAATATGAGGATGTATCCAAGGTGGAGAAATACACAATCTCACAAGAAGCCTACGAGCAGAGGCAAGGTATGGGGCACATGGGGTTGGATGGGGGCATGTGGGGGCCAGAGGTGGGTGGAGGTGGGGGACAGGCAGGATAGATGGGGCTGTTGCAAGGAAGTTGGTGGCATGGGCAGTAGGGGCAGAGGGCTTGGGAGGATAGAGGGTGAGTTGTATGTGGGAAGTTGGGGGCATGGGAGAGCAGCCAGGACAGATGGGGCATGGGGTGTGAATGGGGGCTGGGAGGTGTGAGGGGGTGTGAGCAGGCAGAGGGGGGCCTGGGAAGGTGGAGGGGTGGGGAGTCAGGTATGGGGGGAGTGGCCAGAGTGAGATGGAGGCAGGGGATAGGGCAGAACGTGGTAGAATATGGGGCAGACAGGGCAGCATGGCAGTCAGTGCAGGCATCTGGTGACAGATCAGAATGTGTGGTGGCAAAGATGAGGAGGCTTTCAGGGGCCGTATGAAGGCAAATGTGAGACTGAAGGAACACACGAGAAGATGGGGTCATGTGAATGACTGGAGGCAGCCAGCATCCCTTTAGTTTCTGGATTGTGGGGAGACCCCAGGAGTCCTGAGGACAGGCTGAGGCTGTGATGGGACATGGGGGGCTTGGGTGACAGCCCTTTGGCATCTAGAACAGAAGAGTTTGTCCCCTTGTGGCTGGAAGGTTATCTCATTAGTCCAGAGGCCCAGCCCCAGAGACCATGTCTGACCCAGTCCCCCCACCCCCACAGACTCAGTTCGCTCCTTCCTGAAGCGCAGCAAGCTAGGCCGATACAACGAAGAGGAGCGGGCACAGCAGGAGGCCAAGGCCACCCAGCGCCTCACGGAGGAGAAGGCCCAGGCCAGTGCCATCTCTGTGGGCAGCCGTTGTGAGGTGCGGGTGCCTGGGCAATACCCTCGCCGGGGCACCATCATGTATGTAGGTATGTGCTCCACAGGATCCCTGGGTGCCAAGGCTGAGGGACACCAGCCATTCATCCAGCAGGGTCTGTGAGACCTTATGCTCTGTCCTGAGGTAGGCAGTGCTGGGAGCTGAGCCCTCACGAGATCCCATACAGTAGGGGAGACAGAACCATCAGCTGACAGTGACAGCTTGGAGTGTTGGAGTGCTCGTGAAGGGAAGTGGAAAGCAGAGGCAGCGCAATCTGGCAGGGTGAACAGGACTGTGACAGTGGAAGCACAGGACACAGTAGTCCAGCTGTGATGGGAAACAGGCAGAGGGCAGGGATGAGCGAAGCTTAGGGGGCTGTGAGAGCCCAGAGCAAGTGCCGGCCTTGAGGGCGGGCCTGGGGTGGGAGCATCTGAAGGAAAGGGAGCAGCAAGCCAGGTGAAAAGTGGGGAAGAGTGTTCCACCCGGGGGCGCTAGTGAGCTGAACAAGCCTTGTGTGAGGTAGAGGTCAGCCTGGCTAGTGGGCAGTGAGGGAGAGGTAAGAAGTAAAGTTGGGGGCATGGGCAGGGTTGGGCCACACCGGGCCTTGGAGACAATGGAGAGCCATGTGGATTTTCTTTTCAAATGACAACTTTATTGGGATATTATTGATGTGCCACACAGCTCACCCATTTCAAATGTACAATTCATTAGCTTTTGGCATGTTCACAGAATTTTGGCACCGTCACCACAATCAATTTTAGAACATTTTCATCACCACAAAAAGAAACCCTATGACCATTAGCAGCCACTCAGCATTTCTGAAAACCCAGCTCCCCTAGCTCTAGGCAACCACTAATCTACATTCTGTCTCTGTAGATTTGCCTCTGTGTGATATGATTTGCGTCTATCTGATATGATTTGCCTCTATATGGTATGATTTGCCTCTATATGATATGATTGATATTTCATATCAATGGGATCGTAGACTATGTGGTCTTTTGTGACTGGCTGCTGTCACTTAGCATAATGTTTTCAAGGTTCATCCATGTCGTACATGTATCCTACTTCATTATTGACAAATAATTCTGCATTGTATGGGTGTACCACATTTTATTTACTCATTCATCAGTTCACCGACATTTGCATCGTTTCCACATTGTGACTATTATGAATAATGCTGCTATGAATGTTCTTTTACAAGTTTTTTTGTGGACGTATGTTTTCATTTCTCTATACCTAGGAGTGGAATTGATGGATCACATGGTAATTGTGTGCTTAACCTTTTGAGGAACTGCCATGCTGTTTTCTAAAGCAGCTGCACCATTTCACATTCCCACCACCAATGTACAAGGGCTCCAGTTTCTCCATATCCTCACCAACACTTACTGTCATCTGTCTTTGATTATAGTCATTCTAATAGGTGTGAAGTAGAAATCACTTTAGTTTTGATTTGCATTCCTTTGATGGCTAATGATGTTGAGCATCTTTCCATGTGCTTACTGGCCATTTGTATATATCTTCTTTGGAGAAATGTTTATTCAGATCCTTTCCCCATTTTTTAATTGAGTTGTCTTTTTGTTGTTGTGTATTGGTTTGCTAGGACTGCCCTAACAAAGTGTCACACATTGGGTGGCTTATACAACAGACACTCATTTCTCACAGTTCTGGAGGCTGGAAGTCCAAGATCAAACTGTCAACAGATTTGGTTTATTCTGAGGCCTCTCTCTCTTTGGCAAAGCAGCAGTGCCATCCCTCTTAGATTTTTACAAAGACCTGTCTGTCTGGGGGTGCTGACAGAATAGGGGGACAGGGGTAGGAAGCAGGGAGATCTATGAAGGGGCTACCATATTAGTCCAGGCAGGAGATGGAGATGTCTTGGGTGTCCCCAGTGGAGGTAGCAAGGAGTGGTTTTCGCCAGGACAGGCTTTCCACTCAATGGGCAGGCATGAATCTGGGTTGTGCTGTGTCCAGAAGTTTCACTGGGATTTCTTCCCTGGGCAGGACTCACAGATTTCAAGCCTGGCTACTGGATCGGCATCCGCTATGATGAACCGTTAGGGAAAAACGATGGCAGGTAACAAGTACTCCCACTCAGGCATCTGTGCGCACCTGTGTGTGTGAATGTATATATGTGTAAGTCCATGTGTGTTGCTGGGTAAGCTTGCCCATACTGGCATCTGGAGTGGGAGCCATGTTGGGGTCCTCTGACCACTTCCTCCCCCATCATGCCCTGCAGTGTGAATGGGAAACGCTACTTTGAATGCCAGGCCAAGTACGGCGCCTTTGTCAAGCCATCATTTGTGACGGTGGGCGACTTCCCAGAGGACGACTACGGGTTGGATGAGATGTGACACCCAAGGAATCCCCCTGCTCCAGTTCGTAACCTGGCCACTCTTTGTCCTCTTTATGTGTGGCCATGGCCCTCTTTCCCAGACCCCATTTTAATTTTATTCACCTTTCCCCCGCCATTGATTTTTTTGAGACTCATGCATTAAATTTGCCAGAAACCTGGGAAGTGTTTGGAGGACTTGATGATTTGGGGAGGGGTCAAGGGAGGCTGGGTAAAAGAGGATGAAATAGAGGGCTAGGCAAAGTAGAGGTTGGGCAGGATGAGGCTTTATCCCTGAGCTCATAGCTGGAGGCCCACGAGATTGTTTTTTGTCCTTCGCTAGTTAATATAATGTTCTGCTGCTTTAACCAAGAAGCCCAAATTAATAGTGGCTTAAACAAGATGAAAGTTTATTTCTCTCATGTAAAGAAAGTCTCGTGCAGTCACTAGGAGCTAATTTGGTGACCACTCTATGTCAGGGAAGAGTCTCCATCTCTTTGTGTCTGGTTGCTCTCTCATCTCATGATTCTCACCTCACCTGCTCCAGCCACCAAGAAGGAAGGGTGGGGATACCCTTTGCCTTTAAGGAAGGTGTACTACTCAAAACTTATTCCTATTTCTTGGCCAGAATTTTGTCACATGGCCATACGTACCTGCAAAGAAGTCTGGAAAGTGTAGTCTTTATTCTATGCAGCCATGTTCCCAGACAAATATCAAGTTCTTATACTACAGAAGTAAGGCAGAAGGGATATTGAGGTCAACAAGTAGTCCTGCCACAGTCCCTGTGGGTGGTGGACCTTACCTGGTCACTTAATATTTTAAAGAAGAAAAATCAAAAGACTTTAGAAGTAACACAAAAGTTGTTCCTCATAGCATCGTAGAGCCTGGCAAAGAACATTGTGCTCTCAGGTATGTGACATGTGCATGTGCAGCCCATTTGTTCTGGAGAGCCTGACTTGCACCGTGCTTGTGTCTACATGTGCAGTAATAACCCTTTGTTAACTTTTGGAAGGGATTCCTGGAGGGATGACTATTTGGAGGATTCTATTTAATTGTAATTACTTAATTATAACTTCTGGAGAAGGGGAAAGCAGCAGCGGGAATAACTACAGTAAGAAGAATGAGGTTAAACTGCCTGAGAGCTGGATCCTCAGGGGAAGCTGCTCACATGCCCTCACAGCCTGATGTATGCATACTCTGATACCTGCCACAAAGTACGTGGACACATTCAGATATACAGAATACCCCCCACACCTAGACTCACACTCAAACATGGGACACACACAAAACACACAGACTGGCGTACATGAAAGGTCACATGCAGAAACACAGTACACACAGATTCTCACACCCAGCAAACAGAGATTAATATCAAACACAAAGGATACAGATATCTACTTAAACACACACACCCCCAAACACAAATCAATAAAGTTGTCAATATACAAAAAAAGAAAACAACACGGTTACTTTAGAAAAGGACCCCAAAGGGCCGGCCCGTGGCTCACTTGGGAGAGTGCGGTGCTGATAACACCAAGGCCCCAGGTTCGGATCCCATATAGGGATGACCGGTTCGCTCACTGGCTGAGCGTGGTGCTGACAACACCAAGTCAAGGGTTAAGATCCCCTTACCGGTCATCTTTTTAAAAAAAAAAAGAAAAGGACCCCAAGGATTAGGCCCCTTCCAGGTCAAAGAGTTGTCAAAGTGAGGAGCATTAGAGGAGGTGTCCCCACCTTTCCAACCTGAACCTACAAAGCTAGGTTCAGCCAGAGAATCCAGCAGAATTAGCTCAGCTAATGAAGCATCACTGAAGACCTGAGACTCACTTTAAGATCTGGCTTCAGAGTGCACCTCTGTATGATGAGGCCAGAAGAAGGGGAAGATGATCATGTGACCCCCATAGATGCACTAACCACCTAAAATCACACCTCTGAGCTCCAGGCAAGGGTCACAGTCACTGCCAAGGCACGGTGGAGGATCTAAACACAGACTGTCAGGTGCACTTTAATGCCTTCCAGTTGTCAGCATGGTAGAAGCTGTCCATAAGAACATGGAGAGAGCTGGCTGGTTAGCCCACATTGGTTAGAGCAAGCTGTTATAGTACCAAAGTCAAGGGTTTGAATCTCCATTCTGGCCAGCTGCCAAAAAAAAGAACACGGAGAAACATTTAAATTATTGATGACAATAGAAGGGATCATGCTGATAATTTCTAAATAGGAAGCCTAACCTGCAGTATGAAAGGCTGGACCATAATTAGGGTTTATGGATTAGAAACTCACCTTACAGAATGACCTGGAGCTTTTGCTTTATTGCAGGGATCCAGAGAAAGGAAGGTGGTCAATGTGTAAGCATAACAGTAGCTGCCATAACAAATCCTCTCACCCCCACATGCACAGTCCAGTGCAGGTATTCTGGATGGTTGGTAGCAATCTCAATGCGGTTATTCACACACCCAGACTCCATCTTGTGTGTCCATCATTTCCAGAGGCTCCAAATTATCTCCTTTCCATGTGGTGCTGATAACACCAAGGTTAAGTTTTCAGATCCCTTTGCCGGGCAACTGCCAAAAAAACCCACAAAACAACAACAAAAAGTATCTGCTTTCCACTGGCAAATGGGAGGAGATGGTGTGGAGAAAGTTCATCATATACTTTTTTTTGTTTTTTGCAGCTTGCTGGTAACAGGGATCGAACCCTGGACCTTGGTGTTAACACCATGCTTTTTATTTTGTCTTTTTTTTTTTTTTTTCATGACCGGTAACGGGATCGCAACCCTCAGTGTCGCGCCCGTACCGCGACCGGCAACAGGATCACAACCCTCGGTGTCTCACCCGCACCGTGCTCAACCAGTGAGCGGACCGGTCCCTATATGGGATCCGAACCCTCGGCGGGAGCGCCGCCACGCTCCCAAGCGCCGCACTCTACCGAGTGCGCCACCGGGCCGGCCCTTAACACCATGCTTTAACCAGTTGAGCTAACTGGCCAGCCCCCCACCATATTCTTTAAAAATCTGTCCTAGAAGTGATCTACACATTTCACTGTTGCTCATATTGTATTGGTGCAAACTCATTAGTCATGCAGCCACTCTGGTCTGGGCAGCTCCCTCCCAGCCGCTAGGATGAAAAAGAACCATGGATTTTGGTGGCCCCACCATTGACCACCCTCCACTGATCACCAGATCCATGACCTCAGGAGAAGCAGCAGGACGAGGCTGTGGATTTCCTTCCACTAGGGTCATTAAATCCTCCTGCCTCAACAACTACCCATGTCTGACCTACATCATCCACCACTCTCCCTCTTTGTGGGGGGAGGGGAGGAACATGAATTCAATGCTTTTGAACGCAAAATGAACCTTGCTTGGTTTCATAAGTCCTCAGATGGAAGACAAGTGAATGTCCAACAGCCTTTCCCCACATTGTTTGTGTAGGGAAGTTAAAATTTTTCCCATGAAGGTTCAATAATTGAATCCATAAACCTAACTGATAAAAGTCAGATTAATGGGGAAAAAGCATAACAAATTTTATTACGTGTACATGTGTGCACAGGAGCCATACAAAGTATTGAAAAACTCAAAGAAAAGGCCAGATGGCTGAAGGTTTTATTTTATTTATTTATTTATTTATTTATTTATTTTGAAGGATGCGAACCCGTGGCCTTGGTGTCGTCAGCACCACACTCTCCCGAGTGAGCCACGGGCCGGCCCTCCAGGGACTCTTGGCTGAAGGTTTTAATATCCTGTGGCTACAGAATTGAAGCATGGCTAGTAAAGGTGGTCTTGTTCTGCAGATGAAACGTCACAGGTAGCAGCTGTCAGGAGGAATAGATGGAAGCCTGTGCTAACAGTTCCTACAAAGGTGTAGGACTCAGTTAATCTTTCCTAGATCAGAGAAAGCCTGGCTGTTTATTTCAGCAATGCAGATTTTCTCTACAGATGCAAATCTCCCTGACAAAAGGCAGCTTTTTAGCTATCCTTGTGTTTCTAGCCCCTCTGAATAGGGCGTGCGCGCGCGTGTGTGTGTGTGTGTGTGTGTGTGTGTGTGTGTGTGTGTGTGTGTGTGTGTGTGTGTGTGTGTGGTTTTTGGTGGCTGGCTAGTATACAGATCTGAACACTTGACCTTGGTGTTTGAATAGCCATCTTGAAAATGTCAAAATAGTATATTTTGGGCTGAAATACTTTTGGTTTCCCTTATTTGAACCCCACGTTTTTGTGCCCCCACTGTATGTCAGGCCTGATGCTGGGAACATACCCATGAATTGTATACAGCCCTTGCTTGGGAGTTAAAAGCAGACAAGTAAACAGATAATTACAGAATATCGTTTTTGTTTGTTTTGACTATAATATTCCATTATTAATAACGTTTTGGAGTGGGGGATGGGGGAATTCGATTTAATCTGCCCATGTGGTGGTGGTATCAAGGGAAGGGATGGAGGTGGGGGACATTTGAACAGGAGTCACCTGAACAATAAGGGACAGAAATATCCGGGCCTGAAGTAATCCCTTTGGTGATTCATGCTGATCAGAAACTGGATCCCTGTGTGAAACACTAGTTTAGGCTGAATGCGACCTTTGTCCTGGAGCAGGGCTAAATCGCCAATTCAAGGATTCGAATCTTCATGGCCCTCTAGAGTTGACTCATGTGACAATTACAAACTTCGGATAATTCAGTTGGTTAAGAGAGATGTAACAGCCTTAGTGAGGAAGAGCACAGACTCTAAAACCGAACAGGTTCAAACCCCAGTTATGTCGCTGACCAGCTGAGTGACTAAACGAATATTCCTTGTTTCTGGGTTTCAGCTTCATTCCTATAAACCGTGTCCGAAAACAGTACCAATCACCAACGATTGTTGTGAAGAATCAAGGAGCTAATACATGTAAAGCGTTTACATCAGCGCCTGTCGTATAATAACAATCATATACAGCCAACAGTTACTGTGCTGGTTTCCTTTAATCCTCACAGCCCCCAATTGCTTCACTATTCTCGGTCAAAGTCTGGGTCACCCCCTCGGGAAGGGACTCCTGTAGGTTACCAGGACGACGGCTCGCCTCCCAAGTCCCAGCCACCTCACCATCCCTGTCCTCGGCAAAATAACCTCTCAGCTGCCACGAGGGGGCAGCAGCGCGCCGTTCAGACTCCGCGCGCACGGCGCATTGTGGGGTGCGTAGTCTCGCCAGCGGCATGGGCGGTGG